TAGATAGTGAGAAATAAAGTAACAAAATATATCACTGACAAGCATAGGTTAACTAAATGAGTTTGTCTTTCAATTCTTTTATTTAACATATTTTATGAAGACAGGAGCACCTTTTAATTTTTGTTTTAATGGGGACCTAATATTTGGCATAATTTTTCCATTGGGTGCTCAGAAAAATGCTGCAATGTTGTCGGAGAGCCCTTCATTTTTATACTTGATTTAGATTATTTTCTCAAATATACCCACTCAAAGCAGGCTGCTAAGCCACCTACCGAGAGGTACTATTGAGTCCTCTGTCATTCCATCTTTCCTAGAGAAGTCTTCCCATGGCAACACCTGGATCTTAATTGGAGCAGACCTATGTATGGGAACAAATCAATCCCCTCAGAAATACAGCAGATTTTGCCCAGGATTTAACCAAGGTCCCACAGGGATCCATGTTAGGACTCTGATTCAGGAACTTACTTGCCTCAGCTAGACACAAGAAAGCCTGTAGAAAGCCCACCCTGACCCTCTGTGGGCGCAAAGACTGCCTAAGACTACTGACTACTGGGCAGCATTAGCAGAACAGCAGACCTGGGAGCCTGTGCTCTTCGCTCTAGAAATCTGCATCTATTGAGCTTAGTTTACGTGCAAAATCAAATAGACTTTCTTCTGCTTCATTGATTTTGATTTTTCAACACATAATAACAAATGATGGCCAATCCATTGGATCATTGTACAAAAAGTCTAGTTTGATCATTCAGATCATATCTGGTTACTTTATTCATTTAATCACCACATAAGGTCCAAAGTATTTTGGTTCACCTTAAAAACTTCCAAACAGGAATCTGATGAAAAACAGTCAATTTAAGGTGCATATGTAAATACGCATGATGAATAAAATAAATTTATTACAAAGCCACTTTGGAAATCTATTTTTCTCACTGAGGCATTGAAAAAGAATAACCTGAAATATATTTTCACTCCCTTTGTGTTTACACTTGTTCACTTTACCTTTTCTTTCTGAAAAGTTTTTTGTAAACTGAAACTTTGTGAATCGAATTGTATCTGAGGTTCATAAAACAATGTATTAGTTCAATTATGATTCTGCTTATAATTAAAATAAGTTCCCTCAAACACGCTTCTGGTGTAGAGTTGGAATTTCATACAACAGCTTTGCATAAAAGTGAGGTTTTGTTGCAAATTTTGCTTCCCAGTAAACCTAAATTTGTAGTCAAATTCATTCATGAAAACAACAGAAGAAAGTTATGTCTCTCTGTTTTTAAAATATAGGGGCATAGAAGTTTATTTTTCTCTAATCAAATAAGTAGAAAATGTAAATATGTGCGTGCATATTTTTCTTTGTGAGGAGTGTGACTGCAATGTGGTGGACTATATTCACGTGGACCGCTAGTTAAGAGAACATTTTTGTTAAACGGCTGTCACTTAATGGCCTTCTTTCTCTCACTCATAATCTTCTTGTTGTCCACTTAAATCTTCCTGGCAACATCTCCACGTTACCTGCGGCTTTGTCAAATCTCCCCGAACTCAATCCTTCTCATTTCTCACACCTTCACGACCCTCTGCCTCTTTGTTTTTTATATTAGGAAAAGCAATGATTTTTTTAAGGAGAAAATTATTCAATGCTTATGTACGCATAGTTTCATTTAAATTTACTAAGCTCATAGAAAGGAAATAGATATAGAAGACGCATGAAACTTTAAAACATCGACACCATGACCAACACTTGAGTACATTTTAACATGAATGAGGGTGTGGGAAAAGGGGAGGGAAATAAGGGGAAATTATGTACGCATGTATATACAGACAGCGAACATAGTTGTACTACTGTCTTCTATTGCTCTACAGAAAGGAGCAGTTAATGATTACTTGTTTGATCAATCTTGCATGTCTCTATTTGTTTTCTTAAGAAACCACTTTGAAGATATCAATAAGTAATACAACAACCATTGTTAATTTCCTACAACTTTGTCTGTAACTCTGTATTGTTTGTACTGTTTTCATCTTATTTTGTAAACGGATGTCTGTTAATATGTTTTCCTTCTTTATTTCTTAAAATAAAAAAATAACATGAATGAGTAGAAAAAGATGCACAGTTTTAGTCACTGAAAATGTAAGCTGTAGGAAATAAGGAAACTGGATTCTAACTATTTTCTGCACGTCTGATTTACCGTCAGCCTTTTCCTCTCTCTCATTTTCTAAAGAGATCTCCGCTGTCCTTAGCGGTCTGCAGAGTATGTATCAGAGTAGACTTTGAAAATCACCACAGTTATGTACAACCACACTGCCCCACAGTTCCCCAGAACAGGACTCTAACCAGAAATTTTTAAAAGTATATTCTAAGATACGTATTGCAAACATTTCAATATTCTACTTGAATTCAGTCCATTTATGAAATTATGGTCAGCAGTCCCTTTAAATCAATACATTAAAATATTCCACATTACTACGTTAGTTCAGGGTTGTAAAAGAACAGAACTGTGTTCGAAGCCAGTGATAGTTTTCACTGTTTTCTTCCAAATTAAAAGGAATGAAACTACAAGTTCTTTAGTAAAATTTTCTCCAAGGATTAAAAAGAGAAATTTGCTATTCTGAGTGTAGGTTGGGCTTTTTTTTTAAATGGTTGAGTTATAAACCAAAACTCCTAAAAATAGGAGTTTATGGTGGAAATGACAGCGTTTTAACTCAAAAGGCATGAGTGGTGTCCTTTTACAGACGCCTAAATCAAACACAGAAAAAAGTGATGTGTTGCCAGGATGTTCCGTGTACTTTCCTTTAATTGCCATATATAATTAATAGCCTGGACATTTTTTCAAGAAAATAAATTGCAAAGTTGCAAGCAAGTCAATTACACAATATCTTACCATGCAACATATCAAAAACAACAAATTTAATCATTCTGTGGTCTGGGTTGAGTTCAACACTAAAATCTTTTTATTGAACTCCATAACAACAAAGAATTTCGAACTTACAGATGACCATCTTTGAAGTTGGATAGAACCCTGACCATACTATGATTGTCTGATACTGAAAAAGGACAAAGTGCAGAATACAGTATTCCAACCACGATTTGGGCTGATCTGCGAAACTCGAGAAAAGCACTGTGAAGGAATTACAGATATAGAATGACTGGATAGGTCATTTGATCTTGCTTCTGAGCCTGAACTTAAAAACCTCTGTTTCAGATTAAACAGCACTTCATAGCTTTCCTTTTTCTCTTTTTCTTAAACACAAAAATACTTTTACAAATTAAAAGACACAAACAAGATTAGAAGTAATAGAATTACGGAGTATGTATTTTTTCTACATAGGTTCAGAAAGTTCCTGCAATCGAAATAGTTCAAATTTACTCAAAATACTGACACTAAGTAGTATCACACCAAACTCAGGGAACACATACAGGCCTTTTCTACAGGAAATACGTGTGTGACCAGTGAGAGAAGCAGCAGTTCATCTTTTAATATAACTTAAAACAAAGAAAAAAATTGTCTCACACATTTAGAAATCAAGCTTCCCGCTGGCCAAAATATGTAGTCTTAGCAATCAAAATATATAGTTCTGGCTTTCATCACTTTCAAATATGCTACACAGAATTGTATAGAGAATATTTTTACTATATATTTGACATTAAAAATAGGAATGACTGCAGCAACAGCACAGATTGTACTTTTAGTTTATACTATGAAGATAGCTACATGAAATAAATTCAATTACATATATGTATTTTAATAAAAATCTTGAATCATATTGGTCCCATCATTTATGTAAAAGCTTTTACTAAATTCATCTGAATTTTGATGATATTATATATATTTACTTTCAGCAGGAAATATTTTTGTTATGTTTTCCTATGTAGTTTAGGATACACAAACTTAAATATAACTATATTTTTTTCTACAAAGTAATTTTACACTCCACTCTTCAATAACAGTTGGAGTACTGTTAATTTGAAAATGTTTTTATTTTAAGAAATGAGTTAAAAAATAAGGCAATCTTTAATAGTAGGTGCAGAATAAGTACTTAAATGCATAATTTTACAGGTTGTTGTCAAACAAATTTAAAAGCAAAAAGCAAAACAAAAGTACATCAAACACAACACTGGAGGAGTATCTATCAATTTACAAGTTATCCCTCGATTAACAAAGCTGGCAACAGTTTGTTCTTAACTACTTTGCAAATATTCCCCTTCCCTTTTAAATTTATTTATATGATCTAGGAACTTAGTTTTGAATTATTTTCACCATCATTCATTCTTTTACAATTAACACAACCTATAAAGGATTGAGCTAAAAAAACAAAATCTTTCTATTTGTAATGATTTAAATTCGTTGTACAGTACCTGGGATTGTTTTTGAAACTGAAATTCTCAGCGATTAGCAAGTCAGTCTAATAATAATCCCTTTGGTTAAGACTCGTCAAAACTTCCAGAGCAAAATAAACAAAAATACGCCACACGTACAAAAGGTACAGTGGTACAGTACCCGTTATTAGGGAGACCAGCTAAGGCTGGAGAACCGAGCAGGAAAAGAGCAGTGCTGGCACCTAGTGGAGGAAGCCAGTAGCACACTTGTTCGCCTTGGCTCTCAAAGGCGCACTGGCAAAAACACATTTTAATTAAGCTACGCTTTCTATCACACATATTTGAAAGAAAGGTAAATAACAAGTATAAGGAATAATTCATCCTAAGTATGAGGCCAAATGTTATGATTTTAATTTTCTGCAAGGACAGAAAGAAAATTTGGAGGGGTGGAAGAGGTGGAGAGGAACAGGGCCAGCTGTGGGGGAAAAAAAATCTATAACTTAGTAAATATAGGATTGTGCAACTCTCTTTTCTCTTGATGTGTTCTGCCAAGCCTGGCCACACTCATCTATTCTCTGTCAAGTGAAGAACTTTTATCAAATCAAGTGACAGGCTGTACGTGAAGTTCTGTCTCTTTGGGACATGAGTCACCAAACACTACTTACACTACTTAACACTAAATTTGTAGCTTCGAATGAGTTAATATTGTGTGCAGAGGTGTAGTTATTCTCCCTTGATGGCGTTTTTTAGTCAGAGGACAAATTTAGATTGCGAGCCCATCTTTGGGACCGGGAAAGGTGTGGTTCTCGTGGAAAGCTTTTCCCTGAAGAGGCAGTGAGCCTACGAGCTGGTGAGAGCAGACAGGTGGAATTACTAACTACACTCCAGGGAAAGCCATACATCAGGTAAGTCCAGCAGACAAACTCTATAGTCTCCTTCAACTGTGAAAACACATGCTTTCCTCTGTTGTATGGATACTGGAGTTTAGTTCACTGATGTACATCTATATTTTATATCTTGGTGTTCCTGGAACAGTTAGAAATTATTTTCTGATGGAGACACAGAAGGGTCAATATCTGAAGGTCAAATCAAGACTTCTCTTGTGGTAAATCAAGGCTTATCTTGTAAATTAAGACTAATCTTGTGGTAAATGTTTTCCTTTATTGAGTACTTACTTAGGTCATTAACTGCATGTACCCTATTATTTACTCTAGGTGTGTGTTATTTTTACAAAGCAGGTATATTGTTTTAGATGACTGGCTTAAATTTTACCTAGCAAACTATGAGAGAGTTTTATATACATGTACACAAAAATTCTGGTCTAATCTTCCTTCAGTCCCATCAAAGACACAATCCCAGGCCTCATGACCGCTGTACTTCTTCAGGTGACCTTGTTGACAAGGTGCCAGAGGTAAAGGCCAGGGTGGGTATTCTGTCACTGATGGGCCAGTTGTTGGGGTCATTTCCACGAGGGGCCTTGGCCCAGGGCCTGTGGGACAAGTACAAAGTGGAGGCAGGGCTTCCTGAAAACAAAGGAGAATATAGATGTAGCCGAGAAGGAAAGAGTGATTGTCACAGGGAGCATAGAAAAATCATGGTAGGAGCCCAGGGGAAGGAAACCATCTTCAGCTTGGGGTGGGGCTGGAGGCAGGGAGTGGCAAGGAAGACTTCACGAAGTCTGTAGCTGACTATTGAGAGAGGACTGGGATTTAAACAAGCCACGTCAGGGAGAAGCACAAACTGCCAGGAAGAAACTTTGCGGATGGTACGGCCCCGCCTTTCCCCCTCAGGCAGACGGCCTGAGGAGAGACACATCTGTCCCACAGTCTTCTGTCTGGGAAGAGTGTGGCTCCAAAGTGTGAACAAGTGACTGCGACTGCCCTAGTTAATACAGTAAAAAAAACAGTGCGCATTTGTAAAGTATTTCTAAGCCCACAGAATTTACATGTGGCCTCATTAACAAAGATAAATTCCATGTTTCTCCGCTTTCTCTCAGCCCCGCCCACCTCTGGTCCTGTTATCCGGTACAATGAGCCTTACTTCAGAAGCCAAACCAGCAACACACAGAATGAAGACTGCCCTAAAATTGGCCCAGCGCCTGCAGCTGGTTAATCCTACCATAGTTTATCCTTGTAGTGTGAATTCATTCTTATTTTCAAGCTGAAAGTATACACGAGGTAATCAAAACATACAGTGTCTAAATTTAAAAATCATCAGTAGAAGACACATTGCCGTTAATCCACCTGAAAATACCCCCCTACACACACTGTGAACACACTTATCCCATGACGCGTGCCTCTTTCTGAAGCAGTTCTGCAGTTCCTCTTTTGTGTCTTTAAGACATGTGATCCAAAACAGCGAGCACTGCTACTGAGCGCCATCCAGCAGAAAGGCCGGCTCGTACGAACATGATGGTTCGTCCGTGTCCACTTTATTCCCCACATCTGGTGCCATGCGACTTGCTGCCGTTTCACCGAAGTCAAAATCACCACGAACGGTAAACTTGTGGAATCCATGCAGGCCTCTGAGGCAGCCACAGTGGCAAAACTAGACACTCACAAGGGAGGACGTCCAGGACTGCTTCATAAAGCGGCGAGAGGGGCTGGGGATTTAGCTCAGCGGCAAAGCGCCTACCTGGCAAGCGGAAGGTTGTGAGTTCGGTTCCCGGTGCCGGAGAAAAACCAAAAACCAAAAAATAAATAAGTAAATAAATAAACAAAAATAAAGCGGCAAGAATGATGGGGTAAGTGTGTTTGGTGAGGAGGGGTATTTTGAGAGGATTAAAGCATCTTCGTCTTTTAGGGTAATAAAGTTTTTAAATTTTAAACGTTCTCCGTATTTTTCAATCACACTTTGTATTATGCGTTATGTTTATTCTGTCCCGCATGATAGCCCTGGCGGCTCAGACCATGCGAATCTGTTTGTTTCTCCATTGTTCTAGGGGCGCCCTTACCAGCCAGTCTTCTCAGGAGAACTCAAGCTCAAACTCGACACCAAACAAAAGCCCTCTTTCCTTTGACCTAGATTATTAATTTTAGGCCTTACGTGTGGGTAGGAAGAGGTGACTGTCTCTCTTCTTCCAAAATGCTTCCATAATTGGGTAGTGAAAAAATGTTAGGCTTATTTCATGAAGAAACTGCGACACTGAAGTGAAGAATATTTTTGATACCATGTGCTCAACTGAAAGACCTCATTTTCATTCAGTTTAAAAGAAATGTGAACCAGGCTGGGGATATAGGTCAGTGGCATAAGCACCTGCTTGGCAAGCAGAAGGTCCTGAATTTGATTTCTGGTACAGAAATAAAAATAAAAATAAAAAAAAGAAATATGAACCATACAATTCAGAAAATCTCCCTCTGGGTATATACCCAAAAGAATTGAATTCAGACTTGGAGAGATAACTGTACACTCCCATTCATAGCAATAATATTCAATATAGCCAAAAAGAAAAAGCAACCCATATATCCACCAACAGATGAACAGATAAAATGTGGTATATGCCTACAATGGAATACTATTCAGCCTTAAAAAAGAAGGAACTTTGGACACTTGCTACAACAAGGATGAACCTTGGAAGCATTACATTAAATGGAATAAGCCAGTCACAAAAGGACAATGCTGCATGATTTCACTCATGTTTAGTACCTGCCTAGAAGTCAAATTCAGAGACAAAAAAAAATAGAATAGTGGCTGAGGGGAGGGGGACATGGAGTATTAATACTTAACGGATACAGAATTCCAACTTCACAAGATGAAAAGCATTCTGAAGATGGATGACAGTGATAGTTGTACAACGATGTGAATGCATTTAACACCACTGAACTGTACATTTAAAAATGGTTAGAAATAAATTTTATGTTACAGGCATTTACCCCAATAGAAAATCTAACACTATTCGATAAAGAAAAAAGTTGAAAATATTTCACTATTAAACATTTAGAGTAGTAGTCAGAATACAGGAACATGAGCAAGCTAGCTCTCTGGTGCACATTTGATGGCAATGATGTACTTGCTTCTAGTAGCACATAAAAAAAGAATCGATGTTGTTAGTAGAAGAATATTAGAGTCAAGATAAGCTAAAAATTATACTATCAATTACTTATAAATATTAAACAATATATGAAAGAAATTTGCAAATGCAAATTTACTTCTTTGTTTCCATATTGTACTACTATTGTAAAAGAAAAATTTGTTCTTAAAATACAGTGTTAATAGCTTTATATTGTCAGACATCTCACAAAGTACAGATGCATTCAAAGGGTAAGTCCTATTGCTTCAAAATAAATTCTATATTTACTAACCATATGCATCCTCATTATAGGAGACAAAACGTGTGGTGACTTTATATGTAATTAAATTGAATTAAGTATATAATAAACTTACTTGATCAATTATTAATACCAATTAATATATAATACCATAGGTAAGTAACAGCACATGATAACTCCAACAGCTAACTGTGTTTTAAAGTCTTTCCATGACATTCGCGTGCCTCCCCTAAACTTTTATTTCATAAGTACATCTGCCTGTCTGGTATAATTAGAATTAAGAGAAAGAATTAAGAAGATGCTGGGTAGGTGAAACTCTAATTTCATAAATCATTATTTTAAAAGTGTCATCACAATTCTCAGTGGCCAATTAATTAGAATCCCAGTAACACTTGGTTTTGTTCAACAACTGTCCAGCCTAGAAGACCAACAAAAGATGGCCACCCCTATAATCTTAATAATAAGCTCTGGGCTGTCAGCGTGTCACAGCGTGACCATAAAATCTAACATGACAGATAAGGGAAGTGAGTTATTACTGAAAGCAACCTGTGCTGAGACCATGTTTTAATATTTTATATGTGTTCATTTGGCACAGTATTACATTTTTGCAATCTGTCTTGAGCAGTCCTACTTTGGAAACTATTTCTCTTAAAAATAACTTTTTAATGCTGAGAATTTACTTTATTCTGTATCCTCCAATTCTCCTCACCCTATGTGACAGCAAAACTCTCTAAAAATTATTTAGTACTTTAGTCGTTTGCAGTTTTAACTCTAACATTTTGAATCAGTCTGTAAGTGATAATAAAATGCACAAAGGAACGAGAGAGAATCCAATTACATCTACCTGTGCAGTTCTGCTGCACACCAAGTAACAATAAACAGGCATTCTTAAGTCACAGCATTTCACTGGAAATGGGGCAGAACCTGTGTATTTTAACAACTTTTTACAACTAGTAACCACTACAGCATTTATTTTACTTTTTAAAAGAAAACCAGGGAAGGTTCATAATTTAAACTAAAGGGTCTTTCAGCCTTGAAGACAAAAAGCACTTCTGCTTTGCACCTGAGCAATAATGTGGGGTGCATGCAGGTGAATTAAGAGGCCTGGACTCAAAGATAGTTTGTCTTTGCTGATCTGAAGCGTCTGACTTCTTTCCAGCCCTGCAATCATTTATTATCCAATAAAGAAAGCCTGGATTTCTGCTCCACAAACACAGTGCTGGTCCGCAGCTTATGATTTACCATGTCTGCTCTGAATGCATGACACAGACTTTTACAAAATAGTCTCTCTCATCATACACACACCTCTGATGAAATTTTAGGTCTGATTTACTTTTGTGTCACACAACCAGCATTTTAGGCAGCTGCACACATTTTCTATCTCCAAAGTGGCACTCAAAACACATTTTAGGAGGTACTTTACACTAAAAGTTATGTATCTGAACGTATACGGCAAAGGGATCTCAGGTTTTATTGCGTTAGTAACCTGATATTCATTTTTTCTCTTAGAAGGGACTGTTTTTAAGACTTGGAAGCATTGCACCCAAAACACATTTTAGGCATTACTCTAGTCTAAATGATAGGTATATGGAAATAAGAGTAAGTACTTCACAAGGAATATTGGACTAGTAATTAGATCCTTCTTTTTCCTCTAGGACTGTCGTTATTCCAAAATATGAATGTTTTCTAAGAACGCTGAAAATGCATAGTGTCTGATTTACTTTTAGCTCAAAGGGGTTTTAGCTCCAATGGAAGACTAGACATGCCAGCTTCTAAGTCCTACTTCCTAAGTGTGTAACTGTGACTTCAAATCTATATCATGCACTCATTCAACTACAAACACAACGAGAAGTACTGCATCAAGTATGACACACCTAGGAGTGTAGAATATGTGTAAAAGTCAAAGGCTCCGGGCTTTAAAATGTGCCATCCTAATTACATGGGATAATATAGTAGAAGCCAGAGAACAATATATAGTTGATGAGTTAGTATATACATTTATACATTCCCTAGAAATACATAGTAGCATGAGTTCAGATGCTAAATTAGGATAAAAGTATATTCAGCTATGCTTGTCATTCTCATTAGGGATCAATTATAAATAAAACATAGACTGACATAATCAAGTTCACATTCAAAGAAATCTTTTATGTAGTGATACAGGAGAGAAGCAGACAAAAATTAACTAAAAATCATTTGATGAAAACTGCTTGAACATAATAGAAGTAACTATCCAGCCAGTAAAATACCATAAAATAACCAACATTGAAAAGCAGAGTAAAGTTACACCGGAGTACCACTTAGTAACGCAAAGTTTGGCTTTCTAATACTCTAAATCTAAAGTTACACTGCCAAATGTGTCAGCCACTGCCATTAGTGGCAATTGAACACCTGAAATACGGCCTGGCATATGACTGGTCTAAAGTGAGATGTGTTGTAAGCATAAAATACACCCCAATTTCAAAGACTTAGTAATAAAAACACCATAAAAGAGCTCATTTATATTTTAATCGATTGCAAGTTATGCTAATATTTTGAATTGATTATATCAAATAAAACATATTATTAAAATGAATTTCACCTGTTTTTACTTTTTTAATGTGGTGATTTAAAATCTTAAACTTACAGAGGTGGTTTGCATTATATTTTTATTGAACAATATTTGGTCTAAAGGATAAAGTCGCACAAGTTACAAACTGACAAATTACAAATCCTTCTGTCTACTGCCCTACATCTGGCAAACAGGAAAAGTGAGGCTTAGATTACTTGACTGATGGGTTCTGGTAGGCTCAGATTTAGTACTAGATGTGCTCAGAGGGCAGGGTCTGATTATCAAGACAACTTTCCCTCCTTGAAGGTATCGAGAGATAATGACTCATCTCCATCATCACACTTCAAGGTACTATCCTTGTGGGCAGTATTAAAACTTTTTGTGATGTAATATAACTACCCTTCATCTTGATTTACAGTCATCTGTGCAATCATCTTTATTCTTCTTCTGGCCTCGGTGAAGGACACTTATCCGTAGATATGCCTTTTATATAATGCAAAAACGGTATACATATCAGAGAAAGTTTTTCATTTTCCATTTTAATTAGTGAATATTAATTATATAGAATACTGGATTTTATTGTGGCATTTCCATACATGTGTGTAACATAATTTGATCATATCAAATCCTCTCTTAATATTCCCTCCCTCCTCCCTGGGCCCCTTTCTCTTCTCTAATATTCTTTCTCCTAATGTTTTCTCCCCCAGCTAGATTTTATATATAAGATAAAACTTGGGATTTGTCTGGCTGAGTCTGGCTTATTTTGCTTAATGTGATCCTCTCCAGTTCCATCTATTTTCCTGCAAATGACACAATTCCATTCTTCTTAATAGCTCAGTAGTACTTCAGTGTGTCTTTATACTACATTTTCTTCGTCCACTCTTGTTGATGGGTACTGAGACTGAGTCCATAGACTTGGCTGTTGTGACGTGTGCCATGATAAACTTAAGCATGCAGGTATCTTCCCAATATGTTGATTCTAATTCTTTCAGGCATATACTGAGGAGTGGTACAGGATTCATGTCACAGGTAAGTTATTTAGGAAGTGAACACATTTATAAACCAGTTCCCAAGTGTTCAGATCAGTAAATGGACAGATTAAAAATGGCACATATATACCAAGAAATATTCCACAATATAAAAGAATGCAATCTTGTCATTTGCAACAGCATGGCTAGAAACCAAGACCATTATTTTAAGTGAAACAAGCCAAACACAAGTCAGTTTAGAATAAATTTTAAATTTGTGCTTAGAACACAAAAAGAATTAGGTCATTTTCATATAGGGTGCAGTTTTGTTTCTCAGGAATCGTACACCCTCTACCCCTCCCCCTCTCCTAATCCTCACCCCTCTGACCCTACAGATCCTTCCAAAAGCCTTCTTCCTTCTACAGTCATTTCGAGGTCAATGTGACAACTTTTTCCTTAGGATAATTTTTACCTTTCATTGTTATTAACGTGATATCAGGTTGAAGTTCATATCAATGTCCATTTCTAGATTTATTTTCTGAGAGTCTAAAGTTCAGATGAGACATTGGAGGAGGCCAGAGATATAGCTTAGTGGTACAGCGCCTATCTGGCAAGCACAAGGTCCTGAGTTCAAATCCCAGAAGCCCCCAGAAAAAAACCAGATAAGACACTGAAGAGCAGGCACTCTATCACTTAGCAACATCCCTCGGCCCAACACACTAAACAGAAGGCAGAACCAACTCAAGTTGCTCCTCCCTCACCCTGACACTGACAATATCAGCTTTCAACATGGACTGAAGCACTTTACAAAGTGGTAGATTAGACAGCAATAGGTTTCTCAAAAGATGGAAGAGCACAAGCACTCTGGACCCATTTTGTATACAATATGTAGAAAGACACTAGGTTAAACAGTTACATGGCTTTCTTTTCTGAAACTTTGTTATGCTAATGTATAATCTGAATTCTTCATGTGGGCAAAGTTCTCCAAAACTATTTAGAACGTGTGAATCTTACTCTCACAGAGCATTCTGAGAGCTTGGTACTCCTAGGACATACTGGGGAAACCCTGATCTTAGTTGCAAAGATACTCGCAGATCACCTTTCACTGTTCTATTATTGCTGAATAACACCCCTCACTTTATTTCATCATTCACCCAATATATTTTCACTAGCTTGCTGTGGACTCAGTTGTGCTCCCCTCCCCCATTCATTGGTTGACATCTCAACTGCCACAGATCTCTCTCTGAAGACCAGTGAGGACATAAGAAGGTGGCCATCTGCAAGCTTGGAGGAGAGATCCCACTGGAAATCAACTCTGCCAGCACCTTGATCTTGCACTTCCAGCCCCCAGAACTAAAAGAAAGTAAATTTCTGTTGTTTAAACCATCTAGTCCCTGATAGTTCATTATGGTAGCCCTAGCAGACTAATTCACAGTCTCTAGCAAGTTTTGAAAAATGCAAATGGTGAACAGACAGTCCCTGGCCATAAGCAGTTTGCCTTCTAGATCAAAGGCAGCATGAAAAACACACAGGAACCTTGTATTACATTAATCAATCACTTGATTTAGGGTGAGAAGCTCCTTGATCTACATCTTAATCTCCAATTGCATTCTTAATACAAGAGATACACAAATTATTTGTTTTTAATTCCTTATTTGAACAAATGGACCAGCTGGATTTCTTATCTCTTTCACTTCTGTAAAGTCCTGGACACCCAGGAAACCAAAGGAGTCCTTTCACCCTTGACATGGTGGAAAACTACTGCAACCAGGCAATGAGAAATACACATTCCGTTCTCCAGGAGCCCAACTATGAGTCTTATCTTCCTCCATTTTCTCAGTTCTGGTTGCAAAATCTACACTGTGACTGCCTTTTGCCATTCAAATCTTCAGAAGAGGAAAGGAACCAATCAGAAGTCAATCCTGTCTATTATATCCACAGACCGCAGCCTTCCTTAACTGTTTCAGAGACAAGGTTGTGGTAACCAAACCATATATCATCGTTGCTCTTTTAAAATCACAAGAAATAGCAATGATTTGATTTCTCTCTTGCAATTACAAGAAAATGATAGTTTACCAAGGCGAATAACCTATTTTAAAGCAGCCAATAATTCTGTTCACAAACAGGACTTAAGCAACACAATATTTTGAAACAGAAAATACTGAAAAATAATATAACTTACGGAATTAGGAAACTGATGATAGTATTTCAACTACATTTTCTGCAGCACTGACTCAAAATCATCCTCACGTTCTGGGACTCAAAAGCCAAACATCTACCAACCAATGCAGACCCGGCTGAATACGCTAGTGATGTTGCTGAAGCAAATGAAAAAAAATAAGGCTTTCTTATGAGCAAAACCGTCCATTCACAAATGCTATTTCATCTAAATATTGGCACAAGAACATACTTCTGTGCAAAGATTTTTTTTGCAAAAATATTGACAAAATATTTAAGTGAGACAATGTAATTATTAAGATAATCTAGAATAGATCTGGTTGTGCAACCTTGAAAAATTTATATGCTTAACTAAACTTCAATTTCCCATGCCTCAAAATGAAGGAAAAAATTATTCGAGGTATAAAATATCTCCAAATACTATGAGTGAATAAAAAAAACTTGTTCCTTGGAACCTAAACTGTACATCTATCTTTAAAATCCATCTCTTCTTATATTTTCCAATTCTACATATTAGGAAATCATGATTGCTATGAAAATAGGCTAGTTCTACTTACATTTTAACAACTGCAAAAATATCCAGTTAGGCTGTGGTTTTTATTTAAACAGCATGTAAAAGCAAAACAATGCCAATTGTACGCTAATATTTTCTATGTAGAAACAGAGATAAGGCCAGTGGTAAGGAAAGAATGAGCCTGTGATTTGTACAAATAAACTCACCATTTTGCTTGTGTAAAAACTGTTAAATATATTTTTGCATATGACTACAGAGTGGGATATTAGGAGACACTGGTCAAGAAAGATATAATTTCAGTCAGGGAACATAAATTTCAAGAAATCTATTATACTACAAAGTGACACAATTAACAATATCTTGTATTCTTGAAAAATATAGAAATGGATGTTACATACACTTGCCTCAAAAAAAGATGACTGTGAGGCAATGCTCTTGTTAACTTGCTGCATTTGACCGTTCCACTCATTCGTATACGCACAGTACTTGAAGACATGGTGTTGTACATGACCACATCATCAGTATAAATGTTACCTGTCAGTTTAATTAACTGCTTTGCTTTGTGAATGAGAACTGCTGTTTGGTCCCAACACAGGGTAAAATTTCGTTATTCAAAATCTATGCATTGATCTTCATTCAAGTTCTTCATTGGCCATGCTTAAGACCCAGAGGACTGTGGGACCTGCCTTTGCATTTGAACACCCACTATCTGCACACATCAAAGCCATGGAGGTGGGGTCAGAACCATCAGACAGAGCTGCTCCAGAGTTCTGTGTGAATTACCAAAAGAAAAAACAATTAGTTTTTCAGATGAGTGATAGCTGTTAGGAGTCCCTACCCAGTTCAGCAATTCCTTATCAACAACATAAGGATGAATTTGGAGTTTTTATGATAGTGATGGAAGCTCAAACAAATCCACATACTGCATAAATAAATCTCCCACAGTAACAGACATTGGTCCATGCCGCATACTTTCCTGTCTCTGATATTGACCTAGAGTCAAATTTTGTGGTAAAGTGTGGTTGACACCATGAGTTCACAGAGAGGATGAGAAAAGGAATGCTTACCATAAGCCTATTTGATGTTGACTTTGCCTCTTAACAATGTGTTGTCCATAAGAATACTTGACATTCCTTAAACCCAATTTTATTTCCAGATTGCCTTACCTTTTGAACAAAGTAGGCTGCCTGGGTTTACTTGTTTATAACTGTTGCCAGGATTTGAAAAACAGGTCAACCTAAGCAAAAGCCCACCTCAGCCCAAACTTTTAGATTTCACAGATCAGTAATGTTTTTAACTGAGAAATAACAGTGTTGCCAACTTTTTATTTTGATAGGCCAGAAACATTTTTAAATGATTATCATCTACTGTCACCATTATTTCATGAAAAAATTGAATTTTTAAGAGCATAGTAGGAAAGACAGAATCTTCAAAATTACAGATCTTTAATTAAAATTAACTTGATGAAAATATATTTTTAAATTTTTCTTACTTTCCACAAGCCAAGGAAGAGTCAGTTATGGATGGGATGGGCTTAGGAAACATGTGAGAATCACTGAGTCACACCATAAAACCCTTCCTTAATTATGCCCCATCGAAGTCATTTTCTCTCTGTTCCCTCTCTATTTTGCTGGTATCAGTTCTCAGTTCTCTTCTGGAAGCAGTCACACTATATCATACAGTTGTCCATTTGTGCATGTTCTCACTAGGCAGGGAAAAGGATTATCTTATTTTATCTCTTGATTTCTGCACCAAACACAAGAGATTCTGGACATCTTTTCATAAGTGAGTGAGGGAATGAACTGAAGGAATATTAATAAATGAAACAAGGCATACTAATCATATTTTGCCTCAATTCCATAGGTTAGACTACTTTTTCCTGCTATGGATATAGATGGCTGAGGGAGCATGGTATTTACTACAAAGCAAGAGCATGGCTGAGAGATCATCAAGAGCCACCTTTATGGATATGTACCAGAATTCAACACATATATAACAGAGTCAGTTCAGAGCTCTGGACACAGACTTTGGGTTATACACAAATCTCAGCAACCAAGACTGCATTTTGGAACCCCATAAAATTATACCATAGGCAGGGAAGTCCTGCAATGGCTTCATTTTTGTCCATGTTTGAGGTAGTCATGCTTGAGGTACAATGAACTCAGGGTGACTGGAACCAAAGGAAAAAAATCATAGTGGAGTAAACTGTCTTGTTTCTTTAGATTCTTAGCAATGCAGGTATTGAAATAGGAAATACTTGTGGGAGCAGGGTGTGGATCATCTATTATTTGCTGTTCATAAAGATTCCTGTATTTATATATGTGTATTACTGACTTCTGTGGATGTTTCTTTAAAAGAAGAACTTTTTTCTTAACTTTATGGCTGTATTATCAAATGCAAATGTTTACCTAAATAAATGGTAGAATTTTCATCTTGAGAAAGTGGAAGAGACATAATGATTAGAAACAAACTGTAGGTCAAAGAAGTCTAGATCTAAAAGTGTGTGCAAGGAAGTATTTTTTTTTGATCATTGCAACTCAAACTGACAATTGTGGGAAATTCTGTACTGTAATAACTACAGGTAATAACAAAACAAAAATCAATGATGCCTTAACATCACAACAATAAATGCAAAGGCTCCATTTTTACCAGTCCAGATTGTGGCCTTGGGCAAAAAGTCCACACCTTCTGTAGTCTGGGCCTTGTCTCCAAGTTGTTATGTTTCAGGTATAAAGAAGAGGACATTTGAGAAGACGTCTCTCAAAGGAATGGGTATTTACAGACCATTTAGATCTGGTTACTCATCTATCACCAAGCTGTGCTACCCAGTGTTCTCTGGATCCTTCAGCGGCATTGTGGTATTTGATTTTTATCATTTTGCTATTCTACCTCTGTCTCTACCTATTTAGTTTTGAAGTATCAGTTGCCTGTATTACGGTCCATGTCTAAACATTGCTTTTGGTTATCAAGGGTTGAATGTCAGAAAATATTTAGTTAATGATAAAAAGATGTACTATAAACTATTACTAATCAGCAATGTGCTGGGACTTTAAAATATTTCTTAATCATCAACTTTTGAATTTCATATAAATGCAGCAGGATTATTTTGGGCTATTTTGTGAAAAGGGCAAGCTCAGCTAAATAATAAAAATGTATTAATATTTTTCTTCTCTAGCCCAGAATGTTCATATTTTTCATAATTATGATGATGGCCTACACAGCTGATAAAACTGAGTCACAAATCTTAAAATACATATAGCCAGAAAGGTAGAATACAGAATAAAGATCAAAATAGAACAAAACATGATGGAAAAGTTCATGCATGGTTAGTTCCAAACTGACAAATGTGCATTCTTACTTAACGAAAATTTATATTTAGCATGTGACCAAAAAATAACAGAGATAAACTTATAGGTAATTTTCTTTATAAATTAATGACTTAAAATTTTAGTATTTTTTCCTGGTAAAACTAATTTTGGTACAAAGTTCTTCAGCATAAACATTTTCTTGCATAACAGCATGTTTCAAATACAGGCTGAGCATTTCTAATAAAAATATCTTAAATCCAAAGTGATTCAAAATCTGAATCTTTTGAGCAAAAACATGGTACCACATTCAAAAATTCTGCCCCTGATCTGAGTCAG